TTTTATTTATTAGAATAAATTTATTATTAGACTATCCTCATTCACAACCCAACCTAATGTAACTATTCATTAAAAAACTAATTTCTTTTTCCTCCACTTCCACAACCCAACCAAATCCAAGCTTTCAGTTACATTAACAACCAAACAGAAATAATTTTTTTATTAAATAAATATAACTTATATTTCTTTTTTATTCAAATAAAACTTATTCAAAGTATTATTATTTTTAGAAAAATATAATTTAGACAAAATTACAAAAATGGTCCCTGTGGTTTGCCAAAAGTAACAAAGTTAGTCCCTATTAATTTTTTTTGATGCAAATGGCCCCTGTGGTTTGCAAAACTTGCACAGATGGCCCTTTTTACTAACGCCGTTAGTATTCAGCCGTTAGGTACTGAATTAGCAAGGGTATTTTCGTCTTTTCAAGTATAAAGGGACTAGATTCGCAACTTTGGGTAAACCATAGGGACTATTTTTGTAATTCTGTCTTAAAATGATAAAAAATGAGGGGACCTCCTTCCCCCCTCCTTACTCAGTCAAAGCTCTAACCAACTAGGCTAGAGCCAAACTTGTTATCTAATTCCGAAAATTAATTAATATTATATAAAAGCGTAAATAATTAATAATAAAAAAAATATTTAGAAACAAAATTAGTAAAACAAAATATATTTTTAGCGTATTGTAAAAAATATTTTTTACAAAAAATTTACTTGTTTTTTTACGCATTTGTTTTACATAAAATATTTTTTAATGTATTTAAAAAATACGTTTTCGTACACTATGTTATTACATTGCTATGATTCTAAAACATATTTTTACGTTTTCATATAAAAATACGTTTTTTTTTCTTTCACATAGAAAAAAAAATTTACGTATAAAATATGTTTTTTTATATATTAAAAAATACATTTTCGTATAAAATGTTTTTACGTAAAAACATTAAGAACGTGATAACATAACGTAAAAATATCTTTTAAGATTAAATCAAAACGACTTATATTTTTTACATAAAGCAAACTAAAGACGTTAACATAACGTAAAAATGCGTTTTTTTTACGTAAAAATGCGTTTTTTTTACGTAAAAATATATTTTTACGTAAAGCAAACTAAAGACGTTTTTTACGTATGGGTGATTGGTCCCTCACCCATATAACGCTTTTTAGTTAAAAACGTTAACGTGATAACATATTATATGAAAATGCATTTTTACGTTTTCTTTACGTAAAAAATATAAGTAGTTTTGATTTGATCTTAAAACATATTTTTACGTTATGTTATCACGTTCTTAATGTTTTTACTTAAAAACATTTTATACGAAAATGTATTTTTTAAATATATAAAAAACATATTTTATACGTAAAAAAACTTTTTTTTCTATGTGAAAGAAAAAAAACGTATTTTTATATGAAAACGTAAAAATATGTTTTAGGATCATAGCAATGTAATAATATAGTATTCAAAAACGTATTTTTTTAAATACATTAAAAAATATTTTATGTAAAACAAATACGTAAAAAAACAAGTAAATTTTTTGTAAAAAATATTTTTTAACAATACGTTAAAAATATATTTTGTTTTATTAATTTTTTTTAAATATATTTTTTATTTTTTTATTATTAATTATTTACGCTTTTATATAATATTAATTAATTTTCGGAAATATATAGCAAGTTTGTTTGTAGCCTAGTTGGTTAGAGCTTTGGCCGAATACGGAGTGAGGTCTCAAGTTTGAATCCTCCTCCCCTCATTTTCTATCATTCTTATTATTTTAAAGCAGAATTACAAAAATGGTCCCTATGGTTTACCCAAAGTTGCGAATCCAGTCCCTTTATACTTGAAAAGACGAAAATACCCTTGTTAATTCAGTCCCTAACGGCTGAATACTAACGGCGTTAGTAAAAAGGGCCATCTGTGCAAGTTTTGCAAACCACAGGGGCCATTTGCATCAAAAAAAATTAATAGGGACTAATTTTGTTACTTTTGGCAAACCACAGGGACCATTTTTGTAATTTTGTCTATAATTTATTTATTTAAGATATAAAAATATTAAAAAAATAGAAATAAAAATATATAACATTTGTCAAACATGGATTTTCAGCTTGAGCTTCAGCATATAGTTCACTTACTCGTGCCCATAATGATACTTTTTTTGGTTTTTGCCACGAGTCTTGTTTTGACTAGTGGTTGTTTTTCAATGTTTTGTGAGGTTTGAAAATTTTCAGAGGCTTGATTGACATTTGAAAAGAACTCAGAGTTTTCATAATATTGAGTATTTGGATGTTCTTGAGAGCAACCAAAATTCAAATTAAATGTATTTGGAAACGAAGGATCCATGACGGAAATTGCGAAATCGAAAGAAATAAGAATTATGGAATTAGAATTGGATATGAAAATATGTCGATATTATAGTCTATTTATAGAGATTTTTTTTTTGATAATTTTTTTGTAGTACACATACATAGAAGATAAGAATTATTATCTAGTTAGAAATAATTTTGTTTGGTTTTTAAAATTAAATTTTATTAAATAACATATATCTAATTTATTCATCCATATATTGGAAAAAATAATAATAAAATGTGGACGAATGAAGTTCACAGTGAAGATATTCAGTGGAATTGAAAAGAGTTTTAGATTATTTTAATATAAACTCAACAACCAAACAACAAACTTAGGACATCTCCAACCCACCCCCAAACTCCATTACTCCCCCCATTTCTTCCCACATTCTTCTCCAACCCTACCCCATTTTCATCTCCATTTTTGGAGATATGAATAGTATTCTCCAACCCTACCCCATTTTCATCTCCATTTTTGGAGATATGAATAGTATTCCCCCATATATGGAGGAATACTATTCATATCTCCAAAAATGGAGGTGAAGTTTGGTTGCCAATTTTAGTCCTTCTCGTTTTTATTTGATACATTTCTAGTTTATTTTATCTACTAATTATAGTTTAAATGCAATATTTAATATTTATAATATCATGTTATATACTAATTTATATTAATTAATCATAAACATAGAGTTTAATTAGTAGAAGGGTGTATTTGACAATATATATATAAGTTATAAAAATGGAATATTCTAGGAATATACTTTTTGGGTAAAAAATGGGGTAGAAAATGGAGTAGGATCGGAGATGAAACACTATTTACTCCATTTTTTACTCCATTTATGGAGGAAAAAATGGAGATGGGTTGGAGATGGTATTAGGCCATCTCCAATGGATTAAACCCATTGAGAGTTCTATAGATTGTCATGTAGGAAAGAGAATGTATGCACTCACTTTAATTCTTAAAAAAATTAATAAGCTTTAATTAGAATTCTATTGCACCGTTGTATCCCCGTTCAACTCCATACTCTCTCTCATTTATATTATACTAGGCGAATGCCCGCGCGCTGCGCAGAAAGACCTATATAGTTGTAATCTTTACAAATATATGTTTTTTTTAAGTATAACAATAACATTGTTGTTAATTTTGATATAATAATTTGTATACTAAATTGATATAATATATTGACTATTTTGAATTATATGATAATATATACATCTATTATAACTGCATAATCTCAATCGTTTAAATGACTTCTACCTACGAGTTACTCATGAATAAAATTAAATATAATATATGGTTTAATGTTATTTATAGTTTTTGTTATTGTTAATTAATTTTTAAAAATTTATTTGTTTAACATTTTAATTTATGTCATTATAATTATTTAAAACATGAAACATTGTTTTTTTATTTTAAAGGTAACAATATAATCATTTATATAGAGTTATTTTTAACTATTGTAATTATAAGTTTTTTTAAACTATTTATTTGAAAACTTTTAACAATTATAAAAATATCTTTAGGAAATATTTTAGTTAAATTGAGATTACAATTTAGTTTTTGCAATTAACACTACAATTTATCACTTTTAACTATTCACAAAATATTCAATGGTTTTTTAAGTGAAACTGAAATTTATATTTAAGTTGACACTGTAATGTTATATTTAAATTAACAATTTAAGTATTTTGCCAAACTGTTCACAAGTTGTATCTTTAAACTGATAATGGTTTACATACAATAACATATTAAATTTAACAAATTAAGTATAATATATTAAAAGTTAAAGTCATAACTTTATAAGTAGAAGTAAAGATATTATTTTAATATTGAAATTTAGTTTATTTAGGGTTACACTTTAGGTTTGATATTTATTTAACCTTATTAACCAAATTATATTCACTATTAGAAAGACATTACAATTTATCACTTTTAGTTATTTACAAAAATATTTTTTGGGTTGTTTAAGTTAAACTAAAATTTATATTTAAGTTGACCATATATATGATATTTAAATTAATAATTTAAGTATTTTATACAAATTGTTCAAAATTTATAACTTTAAAATGATAATGGTTTACATCCAACAATATATTAAAATTAATAAACTAAGTATAATATGTTAAAAGTTAAAAAACATAACTTTATATGTAGAAATAAATATATTTTTAATATTGAAATTTAGTTTATATATGATTACACTTTAGGTTTGATATTTATTTAACCTTATTAACCAACTAATAATCATTATTAGAAAGAAATTGAAAAATCATGAGAGTTTCAAATGAATGTGGTGAAAGAAAAAATGCATGGGAGTTTCAAATGAATGTGGTGAAAGGAAAAATGTTTCCTTTATAGTATAGTATGATTCATATTTAATCTATTAAACCCTCATACAACTCTCATTGTGGATGACCATATATCCAATGAGGATAGTCTTGATAAATGTTTCTTTTTTTCAAATACGGGATATGGTAATGTCGAATTCTAACGTTAAATAACAATGTTCCTTCCTATCGTAATTAATGTATAACATAAATACTTAAATATTAATTAAAAAAATTAGTTAGAAATATATAATTTATTAATAAAAGATAAATGATTTTTTTATTTTGCGAACACATAAATGACGTAAGAATTAAACAGTTTGTTAACTCGCGAACACACAGCTCTAAAATTCTGAATAGGCCTTGATTTTAAATATTGGTTGAAATTTGGAAGGGGAGGTTAAACCATTGCAGAAGAATTTGTAGAGACCAAAGAGAGAGATGAAGAAGAGATCAACGAGAAAGTCATCGGGGGCGACTTCAAATCGATCACCAAGCGAATCTCCGCCGAAGTTCAAGTTCAATTTCAGCTGCTTCAATAACGTTTCTACATCATACTCGTCGCCAATGAAGAACACCAGCAACCTGAACATCATATCATCTCCAGAGCCGCCTACCGGAATATCACCTGCGCCTCCACTAACGTCACTGAGCAAAGCACCTAGCACAATCGCTGATCTGAAGGAAATGGCGTCCTCCAATGTCGATTCTATCAAGCGTCACTTGGATTTTTCGCACTCCGAGATACTCAAGGACATGGAAGCTTCTCACTCACGTCTTCACAAGAGATTTAAGGTCAACTTCTGTTGTTTGCTGTTTCGTTCATTTTTTTTTACAGAAATTTCAATTTTTCGATCGTAGATATCTTCCTGAAAAAAATCCTTAGTTGTAGGAAACGTTTCTGCTTATTGATATCGAGATTAGATATTACGTATAGTTAGCTCAGGATAATATTTCTGCTTAGTATTTCCATAAAAATTGATTGAACACAAAGTGAGGTCCGAAGAAATTAGTTATTGAAGAGTTCATTTATGCTCAATTGCTAATGTTACCTCCTGTCCACAACATTAGAGTCCACTTTTTTACTTCTAAGTTCTAAAGCGTCAAATGTGCTACTCCTTAAAACTGATGGGAAACGGAGTTCATGTCTGCTAATGATGTCCCCTGTACCAAAGTTAGATTTGACTAGGAGCACCAATCTGCTACTCTTCTAAACTGATGAGAAACTGAATTCATCTATAGAGGTAAAACTGATGACTATATTCGATTATAGAATATTCTTATAATTGAAATCTTCCATCTACAAAAACTAGCAACATCAATGTACATTTTGAATTTGTAAGGCACTAGGTTGATATTCAAAATTTGAATTGGACCTTAATGTTGTGAAGAATGACCTATGTGTATACTGCTAAAAATCAGGTCCCCATTTAATGTAATGTGTGATGCTTCTGTTATTTGATGTGTACTATGAAGATTGTGTTGGTTTTAATGAGGTAGACCTAGTTTATGACTTCCCATTCTTGTGAAATATGAAAGTGCCACTCAAACAAGGGGGGGTGCAAGTAAAGGTTATGTTGGATATGGTAGAAAAGTGAACATTGCATACATGGTGTATTATTGAAGAACTATGATAATAATGAGTCATAGAAGAAAAGGTTATGTGAAAACAATTTCCTTTTGTTAGCTTGATATTCTATAATGTAATACATTATGTAGTCTATGTTTATTTGAAGTAAATCTAGTGAATAACAGATATCAACACTATATAGATGATACTACAAAAAGTTTCAGTAATGTCATATTGTGATTGTTACTATAAATTGATACATTGATACTTTAAATTCTTATCTCCTTGTTGTTTTGAAGATTCAAAACCAAGCATGTCAGGAAACAATGAATGAAGCAGAGAAGGAATTCATGAAGATGAATGACCGAATAAAGGAAACTCGTGATGCAATGAAGGTGGTTTTCATGTAATCAATACATTCATAATTTGAACTTTCACATTTATAACATGATCACATTTTCAGGCATCATATATGGAGTTGATAGCAGAAACACAAGCCAGCACTAATTGTGGTATGTTTCTATGACTTAACTTCTAAGAAAACATAATTATAAGTTTATAACCAATAAGCAATTTCTTATTACAATTGTAAACTGCTGTGTAACATTGTTAAGTTGTTTGTTTGTTGATTCCAGTGTGCAAAACAACCATTCCTGAACTTGTGCAATCTGTGGATAGATCCATTGATGCTTTGAAGAGTCGTTATGGGATTGCATCAACTTCATCATAGCTTTACAGGTAAGTAGTACTATATATCGTTAATTATAACAACCTGCTTTCATTTCTTCCTACTACAACATTGTACTTTGAAAATCAACCCAGTTTAAGCAATGTCATCTAAATACAAAGCATTTTTCGCTTCTGTAATTGACTAGTTTTTTTTCAAAGTACAATGTCCTAATATAAAAAGTTGAATGACAATGCAATAATTGGATAGATTGCTTAAAGTATAATGTCTTAATAGGAAAAAAATCTAAAAGTACAATGTTGTTATAGAAAGAAATGAAAGTACAATACTAATATCGTACCATGTCTACTCAAATTTTACCAGGAATTAATCATGAATAAGGTTTTGTTAGTCGCTGAACAGGTGATAAACTTTCCCTTCAAATTAATGTTCTTACTTAGATCACTATGACTTTCTACTTGTCAATATATGCATACATGTGAAGATGTTAAAACTTAAAACATATGGATCAGTTAATTTTGCAAGCTAACTACTTTCCAAAATATACAAAATGTTGTTTATCTTTATTATTAGGAAATAGCTAGCAATATCATACAAAAAAGGTTGAGAAATCAAAACTTGTTTTTAGAACCAGGTGAACCCCAAAGAGATTGCCAGAAAACAGGCCAATTCTTTTGAGCTTCATTCCAACCCAATAAAGAGCCTTCCCTCATAGGGTCCCAACTGGTGGACACAATCCCATAACTAACACCCGCTAGGGCTGTACCAAAGAACACAAACGACACAATGAAGGGTATCCAAGTCGGCACATCGATCTTCAATCCTACTTTTAGATAGTAAAAGAATGGAAAGAACAATAGGCCTATAAACAATGGGATTCCAACGGAAAGCCCAATTCTACCCATCATTCTGTTGGTTACTACCTCTGGAATCACACCTGCTTCTCTCTCTATCTCTTCTTCTTCTTCCTCGTCTTCATCTTTCTTTGGGATGAGGGTCTTTTTGGTGATTTTCTTGGGGGGAGGAGGGCCGAATCCTTTGGGGGAGTTGAATGTGGCTGAGATGGGTGAGAATCGGAATTGGCGATTCTGATTAATTGTGTGGGGTGGCTTTGGAATTGGAACTTGAAATGGGGGTTTTGAGAGGTTATTTGGAGAACGTGAGAAATGGTATGAGCAGAAGGTAGTAGTGGTGGTTTCCATTTCTGTGTTTTGCGGATGCTTTTGTTTCCCTGCATCTGTTTCCAGAGTTTTGGATTAGATAGTTTATCTTCATAGAGCTTATAAGGAATTACTGAATTGCCCCTGTGATGGCCGAAGTCCGAACATCACTTCATCATCGATCATCTCGTGGCACGTGTTTGGCGAGCCTAACCACGATTCCAATGAACTAACCTTGAAAAAGAAAATGTTGAATTTTTTTTTTTTTAAAAATAGTTAATATATCAGAATTTCATAAATAAATTAGGACAAACTGTATGTAAAATAAATGCTCAGGATACACATTTTTAAAATGGACATTTGATGATTTATGGTTAATTATATAAAAGACTTCACTTTTTATAATTTTTTCCGTTTAAAACTTGAAACATTTTTTTTATATTCAAAAAAGTTATATATATATATATATATATATATATATATATATATATATATATATATATTTTCGTTTGGCTATTTTAGTAGGCGATTTTAAAAAAAATATTTCGAAAAAAAAACTCTTTTTATTTTTTTTGTAAAAACTCTCATATTTGATAAAATAAAATTCGGAAAAAATCCTCATGTGTAACATTTTTTTCTTTTTTTTTTGTTTCGACTAACTTTTTCATTTTGACTTATAATTCTCCTATTATTCTTCTTTACGTTGTTTATACTGTTCTTGGTGCTTTTCAGCATTAGAACATTAGCGAAACAATTGATTTTTTTCAAGACAAAAATAAATGCTATTGCGTCTAATCCTCAGTCACACATAGAGCACTCATGCTATCACAATAAATCAAGCTTGACTTGACTAATCCCAAGATCACTAATCAATCCTTTCAACCAAATCATTTTGTTAATGCCATGTACTCCACTTCGGTAGTTGACAACGCCGCCGAAGGTTGAAGTGTTGTCTTCCAACTCACAGTCATAAACACATAACTCATAAGCGATCTTTTGCATCTAAGTCCCAAGCATAATCTAAATCCAAATACCCGACAACCAAACACTCCCGAGCACCTCCATTAACGAGATCCTTTTTGGATACGCCATATATCAAGAAACACACTCAATGAAAGAGCGATATTCGGTCTCATACAAACCATGACATACATCAAACTCTTCATTGTGCCTAAATTGTGATGTACCTCATGAGATTTCTTTAAAAACTCATTTTTTCCGATAGTTATATCAATAACATAGTTAACAAATTCTTTTGTCATGCCAATAACAAAAAGTCGTCACATTACTTTTGTGATTAAAAATGTTTCTAACTTGGAAAACATGAAAGTTAAAATTATATTCCAATTTCCATCGGAGTTTGAAAGTTGTTTTTTTTTCTTAATTTTAAGAACAATCTAAGATGCTAAGCCTATTTAGATTGTTCAACTTCTATGATTTTTTATCATGCAAATAGATTTTGATATGAATTTTGGTAACAAGAATTGGACACAACATCATTTTTCTTTGTTCAGAAAAATATAAAATGTTTCTTTCATTTTTAATCTAGAAAACATAAAAAAAAACACCATAAATAATAACAGAAAAATTGAATTATTAGTCAAAACGAAAATTTATCCAAACATTTTTTTTTGGCAAAAGAGAAGATTTTTCCTTTTTTTTTTTTTTTTTTTTTTTGAAAAATAAGGGTTTTTCCAATGATTTATGATCCACGTTTATAACCAAATATAAAGCTTACGTATATGGGTTTATTTTACAAATGCCGTTTCTAAAATAATATTTATGAAAAACAATTTGAACTTTACAAAAAATTTAGGCTCCGTTTAATTACAGGAAAATAAGGTGTTTATTTTTGGAAAAAAAATATATATATATATATATAAGAAAAATAAGAATTTTGAAAGCTTGTTTAGTTAACATTTTTTCATAAATTTTCTAAATAAAGAAAATTTTATCATTTTTCAGAATTATAAATAACTTTGAAAAAACAATCAAAATTGTTTTTCACAAATTTATAGCTGCAATTTTTTTTTTCTAAAATATACAAATATTCGTCCTAACCACACCCCATCGAACCCCCACACCCACTGAAACACTCATCCTAACCTATCCCACTTCACCCTGCTCCTAACCTATCCCACTTCACCCTGCTCTTTCTGTTAGAAGGGTAGGGTGAGGTGTGTGAGTATATGTGCAACGCCCCGATTCTCATGTATTGATTTAATGTGTGAGTTTCTTGATTTCAAGGGCTACTCGACGAGTTGATTGCCCTACTCGTCGAGTAGCAGCGGGTTGGTCCACATATTTTAATGACCTACTCGCCGAGTCCAAGAAGGGACTCGACGAGTAGGAGCTGGCAGATGAAACCCTAAATCTCGGGGTTTTGCACCCTATTTAAAGGATCATTGGCCTCCCCCAGCCTCCCCTTTTACTGTTTCTTGTCCCTCTCAAACCCTAATTGAGTGTGTGTGTTTCATTTGTGTATTTTGAGCTTGGAAGAGGATTTTGTGGAGAAGGGAGCTTGGAAAGCAAGTATTCAGAAGCAAGGAGCTTGTGGGATCTGAAATCTACCTTATTGGGCATCTTCTGGAAGGTATAATCGTTACCCTGACCTCATTTTATTCTAGATCCCCTCTTTGGACAATTCTAGGGTTTTCATGGTATGATTGGAAGCTATTCTTGTGTGCAAGCTAAGATCTGAAGTTGTAACTTCAGAACTGAGCTCCCTTGGGCTTCTTAGTCCATAAAGTTTCCAGCTTGTGCAAGAATGAGACTCTCCCAAGGTGCAAAGCTCCATTGGAAGCTTAGATTGGTCATTTAGGGCCTTTAGAGCCTTCCATGTGCGTAAAGTTTGCAACTTTACGTGATAAACATGCCTTAGAAGCTTGGATATGTAATCTGGAACCTTGCCATGGCTTAAAAAGCGTCTGCATGGATGAAGGTCTGCAAGGACTCGACGAGTTGGAGGAACAACTCGGCGAGCCCGTTGAAGATGGCCATGAACTCGACGAGTTGGATGAACAACTCGGCGAGTCTGTTGAAGATTGCCTTGAACTCGGCGAGTCGTTCGAAGACTCGGCGAGTCGGCTAGGGTTTCTCCCAATTCATGGACACGTATGAACTCGGCAAGTTAAAGGGGAACTCGACGAGCCAATCAAGGATTTCACGACTTCTCGAGTTCAGGAAGGACTCGACGAGTCGGTGAACTGCACTCGACGAGTCGAGTCAACATGAACTGTTGACTTTGACTGTGGACTTTGACTTGGACCAAGGGTTGACCAGTTGACTTCTGAGGGTATTCTGGTAATTTGGAGATTTATGAAAAAGGGGTTTTATGGTAACTATAGGTGGTGGAGTTCTTGTTGGAGATCTGGGAGTTGAGCTTTCTAGTTTCAGACGACAGTTGCAAGGTGAGTGATCCTCACTATACTAAGGGGTCTAAGGCACCAAGGCCGGCCCATTGGATATATTATCCTAGCAGTGTTAGAGGTTGAGTACGAGTTAGTGTTGCATGCCAGTTAGGTGGATATGTAGGACTACCTGTGATGTTATGTGATTATTGCATGCTCAGTGGTTATGTTATGTGTTTGTTATGGGATGGGTTGAGGTTGTACTGCTTCGTGCGGTAGCCAACAAACCCTAGGAGCATTCCAGTTACGGGCTAAGGGAGACTCGTACTGTGGGCTCGGGGGTATTACAGTCTGTAGGGCTGTGGACCCGTTATGTGCTGTTCTGTTTAGTTTGTTATGATATGTTACTGTTGACATGGTTATGTGGACTGTATGTGTATCGGTATTTTGGGGGTAACTCACTAAGCTTTCGGGCTTACAGTTTCAGTTTATTGTTTCAGGTGCATCAGGGGATCGCGGCAAGGCGAAGGCATGATCGTACAGCTCCTCATATTATGCTTATGTTTCTGGGAATACTCTGATAAATAATATTTTGAAAACAAAGTTGTAATGTTTTGATGAACTTGACATGTTTTAAAAGTTTAACTTTGTTTGAAATTTTTGGGTGTTACAAGTTGGTATCAGAGCCTTGGTTTGAGTGAATTGGAGGAACACTCGTGTAACTCCAATCTCAAATCAAGGAAAGGATTTTTCAAAATGATTTTTCAAAAAGGTTTTCAAAATAAATAAAGGAGGATGCAGGGTGTACGATCAGTCGGAGCCAGTAAGTAGACCCCAAAATACCATACAAGTTATTTGATTATGTGATATGTTAAAACAACATGTTAGTATTAGGCTAGGGATCTTCAGAAATTGCACGATAGAATTGTCTGATTTCATGATGCCTGCTAGCCTATGGTTTCCTTTATATGAAATTGACATCATTACTGTAGTTGCTTAGTGTATGCATCATAGTTATACATAATTAAGATCTTATAGCCTTAGAATGTTTGATTTAGCCTTATGTTCTGTTCTTGTTTGATTTGGAGCTTAAGGTAGGATTGGATACTCGAAAGTCTATAGGGTCCAGCGTTATGTATGGCTAGCATACACTAGTGCTACGGGGTTGGTGGAAGTTTCATGGATAGGTGGGTTGAGTGAGGCCGGGAGGCCAGTTATGAGATGTTTATCATTCCTCTAGGGTGAGGATTGAGCGCTCGCCATGTTGTGTATTTAGTTAGGGCATTGTGGTGATGCTTGAGACAAATATGGGTAGGTGTGGAAGGTAGTATGGGCTCGTACTACTGAAAGCACAGGACCCATATGCGTATCAAGTAAGTCACAATCCCTAGGGTTAGTAGGGAGTTGGCTCCCAGATATTTATATGGATTATCTGATATCTTGTGGTATGTTTCAGAATGGTGATGACGAGGCGCTTTGTGGCTGGATCCGGTTCGGGATCAGGATCAGGGGACAAAGGCCACGAGGGGCCGACAGCACCTGAGCTAGTGGTGCAGATGGGTACAGAGGAGTTGGATGCCAAGATTCGAGAGATCCTGCATGATGAGGTTGCTGCTGCATTCCGGGCTCAGTTACCGGAGATGTTCGGGTCGATTAAAACCGCCATGGTGGAGTATTTTGATGAGCGCTACG